TCCCGTAACCGTTTGATAACGGACACTAGAGGCGCCCCTATCGTGTGTCATATTTCAAACATTCAAATTAACAATTTTAATTCTTATTTAAATTAACAATATGAATTATTATTATTCATTTGGCAATAAATTATTATTTGGTCAATATAACAATATAAATAATTCAGTATATTTGTAATAGGAATTTATTATTACAGGGGCTTATATCTTGCGAAGGGTCGCGAGTAGGGGTATGGTTCCTTTGCCTTTATTGTTCGCACAGGGGGCTACAGTTTGGGGGGGTCGCCACCTCTTCATCTAATCTTACCATTGGGACTTTAACAGAGCTGTACAGCATATTGATAGGAACAAAAAAGTCAAAGGAACCGTGCTTCATGGAAATTTGTAAACAACACCCACTAGGGGGCGTTCCGGGATACTAGTATAATATATTCACTTAATTACTGCAACGATGATATAGCATGAAATAGACATGCTATATCATTACTGCAACAGGTAGCACATAGCACTTGCCTGCACAGAATCGAAATTGCCTGTGAAAAGTCTATAAGTATTTAATTTTCCACATCTAACGACTCAAGTTTTTCATTTCTGAATGATACTTTCTTAAATTCTAATAATTACTCTCCAGTAGCGGAGTGGATAAAACCATCAAATACTGTTAGTCGGTTGTGGGTTCAGGCATGGTCAACAGGCTGGCTACATGGAGTTTTCCAGGCTTTCTTCATATTAGTAACACCTAAATATGGAACAGCTTCACATAAAAGTCTTCCCAGGATACATTCCTCAGCTGATCACTTAAGTATTACATTGCCGTAACCAAATAAACCAAACTAATTCTAATAATTTTTCTATAAACATGATACTTCTATCATTTGTGAGACCATCACAACCTATCCAACATGGATCACTTTTCAAATATTAATACTAGACCAGTATTAATTAGTATTCAGTGACCATCCTCTCTTCCAGGAGGAAATCAACTACTTTTGGTTGAATTACTTCAATCCTCTTCTATAACAAACCCTTCTCTCCATCGCACCAGCAGTGTGGTGGCGTTTGAATAGAAAAATTATATAATACAATGTTACATTCAAGCACAAATTATGTTTTAAGTTGTTTTCAAGGGTGTAGAGTTTAAACGTTTGGTTTGTTGACAGATTACCATTTGATATTGGGCTGTGAATGATACAGTTTCTCAGAGAACATTAGAAAAAGTTATGATATCTGAAAAAATTTAAGATATATTTTCAATTGCTATCTACTTGACCATTGAAAGTATGCCATTTTGTACCATCTGAGCATTATGATAAACATAATAATAGGCTAAAATAACATAACTCTTTATATGGCTTTCATTTTAACTTTTAATATATACTATACTATAATATATTATATTATAGTATAGTATATATTAAACGTTATATATAAGTTATATATATATATATATATATATTATAGTTTAAATTAACTTNTATTCAGCAAACGAGATCAACAATGCAGTTAAAAAGACAAATTCCCTGACTTTTTGACAATTTTCGACAAATTTCCTGACTTTCTCTGACTTTTTCCAAACACTAATGAAAATCCCTGACTTTCCAGGTGCGTAGGAACCCTGGTTATCATACATAAGGGTTTATCACACCAGGTGTCCAATCTAGCACATTTTAGAAATTCTTTATTCTTCTTCTGTACACAATTTAACGAATTTTTAAAATGTGTTATATTGGACACCTGGCGTAATAAACCCTTATGTAAGATAACCTTTGTAGTTATATAAATCAAATACTATAATATAATATAAGCGTTAGAAGTATGAAATAATCTAATGTTAAACTTTGTTGTTATTTTTTGCCCAGGCAATGCTGGGCTTACCTGCTAGTTTTATATAATCTAAAACTCCACAACTTCAATATTCAATTCCAAAATTTGTATGAGTTGAACCTAACAATCACATTACATGAAGATTATATGAAATGAGTTTTTTTGAAATATTAAAAACAACATTCTTTCATTGAACTTCCATCTAAAAATACTTTTCAATTTGCTTCTTTTATGGATTAAATTTTGACAACCTATATTATAAGAGCTATATATAATTTATATAAGTTCAAATTCTAGTAATGTTAAAGAATTAAAAATATAAAAAATTTAACATTACAAAAAGATTATCCATAGAACTAATTTAACTTTATATAAAGTAAAAATTTCATAAAATCAGAAAATTATCTGCATTCTTTAAATAATCAATAAAACTGTAATCTCCCCATTGTTTTACAAGTATTTTAAACCTTTAAAAAAAATTAAGTCTGAAATTACCAATAATACATGCTCCCATTTTATGAAAATTAACTGCAGACAATAGATATATAAATGCTAGTAAAAAGTAAGAAATGTATTTAAAATATTTCTTACTTGTTGCTAGTTCCAATACACTTCAAGATTCAAATTCAACTAACTTGTAAGTAAAAGACAAAGATTTCCTTAAACAAGACTAAATAAAATAAATCCATAATAATGCTAGCAAAACTGTTTGTAAAATGAGTTGCTTTCAACTGTGAAAAGAGACAAAAATACTTTATATTCCTGAGAGTTTATATAATTTACTTGAAGTTGAAATGTTAATTTACAGAAACACTTCAATTTTTTCAATTTAAATGCTCTTTGGAACTATACAAGATGGATATAGTTTGGAAACATTAAAGCATATTTAAGCATTGTTAATGAGAAACAATATGATAAAGACATCATGTATTTTAATGTGATATCAAGAAATAAATAATTTATTATGTATATTCACTTATGTTTTCAGATTTTATATCCATCCTGCATAATTTATTTCTAAAAAAAGTAAATCACATCACTATAAAGAGTATTATTAATATAAATGTTTACTATAATTTGCATCTAACTATAAAATATAAATTTAAAACAAAAATTAAATTTGTTTTAATGGCATAAAAATATTTAATTTGTGTCTAATTTTTGTTATCTGTTTCTTTATTCTATATTCTTGTATACATTAAAGTTGCCTGATACCTTTCATTAATAGTGAAAAATTATTAGCACATTTTACTACAAAAACATTCACAAATGATGTTATGAAATAAAGTTAAGTAATTAATTTGTCAATTATTTAAGAAAATTAATATTTGAGATACATATAATAATAAATAACGTTAAATTAATTCATTCGAATCAGAAAATGATCAATGTTTTCTAATTCAAAATCTTTTTTGAAACAGCTATAAACATTACTGTAGTATGAAAGTAGTCATAAATGCATTCATTATGTATCCAAAATACATTTTCCATACTACTGTATCACATACAACAAACATATAAATTTTAATATTATAAAATACCAATTGTAAAAGTTCACGAAGTCTGTTGGCCAATTCCTTCCACACATCTGGATCTGTAAATGACTGTTTACATTCTTGCTGATATGAAAGTATTTCCATATAATAATTCCTGGTCAACTTCTCTTCAGGCAATTCTTCATGATATAACAACATCACAGGATTTGTTAAATTGATCAAAAGTCTAAAATACAACAAAGCCTTTAATCATAATTTAAAAATTTATTTATGATTAAAATTAAATTAATTTTATTATTTTCTGTTCATATATTCATATTAATTAATCATTAGAACATTGTAAATTATCGTATTGTCAAATAAATATTGTCTTTATAACAGCGCTTTTTAAAAAAATATTAAATATATTTCAAATTAATATAATATTTTGTATTATAAATTGGTTTTATAAATACATTTTAGTGAAGTTTAATATTAATATTAAAAAATTCACTTTGTTTATAAACAAAATACAGTTGTGCCTCATATAATGTACGCCTTGAATAACATACACTGCAAACAATGGACTTTCTGTTTGGCCGTTATGTGACTCGAAGAACGGACTGGCTGCAAACAACAGACTTTCCGTTCGGCAGTTACATGAGGCAAACAATGGACTTTCTGTGAACAAGTGCGAATGATGTTTCCACTCTTTTGCTGTTGCCAATGACAATCTGCTATTTTTATAATATATTAGTATTATTAGAATATATTATTAGTATATCTGAAGTACAGAGCTCCCGTAGGGATTTGGCTTGCTCCCTTATTTATTACGTACTGTACATCACCTCAGTGCAGGGTATTTACATTTATTCAAGTGTTGTGCAAACCATGGCTTCTAAAAAAACAAAGGTGATTTCAATTTTAATAAAGCAAGAAATCATCAGAAGGAGTGAAAGTTGAAACAGACTTTCTTGTCAAATGGGGAGAGGTTCAGGAGTTTACCAACACTCACTATCCAAACAGAGCTGAGGCCAACAGGATCAATGATCTCTACAATGACACCCTTGCCCGTCATTTCCAACAGGTGTTGAAGAACAGAGAGAAACAGACCACCTTGGACATGTTTTTCAAGAAGCAAGCTGCCAAAAAACAAAGGATGGAACAAGAGGAGATGACCCTGCAAGCTCCGGTAGCCTCTCCTGAATCTGACTCTGATTAAAAAACAATAACAAGGGACCTGTTGAATGTGTAAAAAGTCTATCTGTATGAATGTGTGAAGAAAGAGTTCCTCCACCTCCTCCTCACATCTGACTACCCAGCATAATTGGTGACTACTCCATTTTCATTTTTTTTATGGTACAGTACGGTTATTTTATGCTGCAGAATGAATTATATATTTTAACATGTATTTCCATGAAAAATGTGTTTCGTATAACGGACTTTTCACTTAATGGACGTGCACCTGGAACGGATTAAGTACATTATACGAAGCACCAATGTATTCCAGTTTTAACATAATTTAACTTATTCCAAAAATTAAATTCCTAATGAAAATATTCTATAATAATTTTTGACTAATTGTTTAATTTGTGAACTGGAAAATTATGTTGTGATATTAAAAGTTACTCTTTATATACTATAGAATCTAATTTATCTCTTTTCAGTATTATGTATATAAGGGTGATGAAATTCTTTCTTTTCTCAGGAAACCTTATGAAGTTTGAGAATTTCAATACAGCACTTCTAACATCCAAAGGTTTATTCATTTAAATTTATTGTTGAAAATAAATTTTAAAAACTCACGCCAATGTTCGTATGACTTATGGATGCAAATTCACTGAGTTCAGCGTTAATAAAGTTTCTTTAGTATTAACACAAGCACTTTCGACGAATGTATAATCGTCGTCTTCAGGTGAAAAGAATAAAATTTTAACGAGACAAACGTGCAGAATATTCCAAAGGAACAAAATATTTAAAATCAAACAGGCGTCCGGAAATTCCGTTAAGAACGTGCAAATAATTTTTAGATATGTTCGAATTTTTATATTACGATGTTAGCGGCGCATGCGTGGAGATGCTACCGCGTTGGCGATACTATGTTAGGCGCGTTTCGCGTTTTAGGCGCGTTTTAGGCGTGTTAATACTAAAGAAACTTTATTAACGCTGAACTCAGTGAATTTGCATCCATAAGTCAAATTTATTGTTACAAATGCATTTCAAAATGATGTATATTTTCATTCCCTCTTCAGTGCTAATTAATTCAATGTAGTTCTGACAATTTTTTGAATTCAAATACTGTGAAGACCCAACCGAGGTCCGAATCATGTAAATCGCGATATTCCTATGATTAAATAATAACGATAGATTAATTATGAGAGGGAGAGGAAAATCCCATAACTTAAACAACGCGGCACAAAATGTAGACGACGAGTCTCTGATGACTCGAACACGTGTTAAACTAACTGTCAATGTCAGAGTGAAAAGTTATAAGTCAGAGTCAAGTGGTCATATGCAGATAGAACTTTGACCCCAGCGCTCATAAACAATCAATCTAGGGAAACAATTTCTGAAAAGAGGGAAAGATTTAAGAGAGATAAATCATTGCATATGATCGTTCGAGTACCCAGATGACAGAAATCGCGAGTAACGGAGNTTTCGATGTCGATATATCTACATGTTGCCAATCTTGCGCAAGCGCAATCTCGATGCACACTCTTTTCTATTTCCTCTTGTTTACGAGCGTTATTCAGTGTGTGCTCATAAAGCGGCTGGTTTAGACTTGTCTGTGAGTGTTTTATGTACATATTTATTACTGAAGAACGAAATAGACAAGAAGGCAAGACAAACAACGGTGGACAATTTTTTTAAGCCAGGTCCATCCTTACCAGCGAAAAATGACGACAGTGATCTGCAGGTTACCATTTCTTCATCGTCTTCAGATTAAAGCCATTTTTAAAAAATTATGTATGTAAACATACACATATTTTATGTAACATGAAGTTGTTTCATTTTTGTTTATAGATTATTGTTGGTTTTTGGAGTCTGTTTTTATTTTATGTACAAATGTATGTAGTTCTTGTGTATGTATTTTTGATTTAAATGAAATAAAAAGATAAAATGCATTTTGAATGATAAACCATGTTACATATTTAATAAATTTGGAACCGATCCCATTGAATTTGTATTAGAATAATTGATTCTTTATACGGCTTTTCGCTTTGCGGCCAAGTTTCTTGGAACGTATCTAGGTCGTAAAGCGAGGTATGGGTGTACTACAAATTGATTTCCTTTAGTTTTATGTAGTTTTATAATTATAGCTTAATGTACTATTATATTGATACTGTAGAACAGAGTAGCCAATTGACTTCAATTGACTTTTATTGTATTAAGACTAGTCACAATCTACTGTTAGACAAAATCGATGTCACTATGTAGCATAAGTTCATAGTAACATCTGTATCAGCTGTTTCTTACTACTGTATATACAACATAAGCAAGTATTCATGTTTTCTCTCATTTGTAATTTAATGTTGAAAGTAATTTAATAGAATTTTTTTTATTTAATAAAAAAATTAGTGTTATGAAATTGTAACTAGCAAATACTGTAGCAATCAATTGAAAATTTTTTTGAGATTGACCTGTCGATCACAATTAACTGATTGAACATCCTTGCTGTAGAACAGTGTTTCTCAACCTCTAACGAATCGTCACCCCCTTCAATAAAACCGTTACGTGGTATCGCCCCCTTCACTTCAAAATTCTGATGCCAAGGGCCGAGGCTAATGCCAAATTCATACTGTAGTGAATAGACTATTGACTAATATAATGTTATTTGTTTAATTATTGTACTATATAATAAAAAAACATCTAATTATTCTTAATATAATGTTTTACTATATCGCTCAGAAAATTGTTTTTGTCCCCCTGCCCTAAAATATAAATTGTTACAAATCTCCCCCTCAACATGGAAAAACGCCCACATGGGGGTGATATCGCCCTGTTGAGAAACACTGCTGTAGAATAAACACATGCCCTGTATGCTGGCTGCCCTACAAGATCACAGCTGCTGGATACTGTTATCAGCTGCTATTTATTATCAAAATAGTCTTAAACCAATGTGATCATAATAAGTGGCAACCACAGTATTAATGTCAAGACCTTCTCAGAACCTTTTCCAAAAGACATGTTTTGAATTTTTATTTAATTTCATATGATTTAATAAAATATCTTCCTACTCAATCACTTTATATATTATAAAAGAAATAATTTTTCTCAAATAATCAAAAATTATAACACAAATATGTTTTATAGTTAGAATCATCTACCTTTAATTTACAACTTTTATATAAAATAAAAATTTAACTTTTTACATACCTTATGTTTATATCAAACAAAGTTTTATCTTTAGGATAATACTTAAGAAGAGGTATTAAATCAGTTTTCAAAACTCCAATTCTAGCCAGCTGTCTCCTTATACTATGACTTTCATCATCATTTCTTAAAAATCGAATTAAATCTTTTAAACATTCTGGAATATATAATGAATATAAAATAAATTTAAAACATTTACATTTACTGATTTAATGAATTCAGGTAGTAAATTTTAATTCAACTTAAGTTCATTGTAAAGTTTATTATAATTAATTTTTACAAAAGTAATTACAGCTTATTATAAAATTAAGTTTATTGACCATTGAAATATCTTGAATATATTAATTTGATATTAATTAATTAATTTTAATTAAGTTATTAATATATTCAAGATATCTCAACAATCCTTTTGAGATATAATAAACTCTAAAAATATTTTAAAATTTAATGTAATTATATATTAAATCAATTGTACATACTCATTATTTAATTAATTATAATACTTCTTTGGCTTTTATCAATGTTAACTCCTTTAGTACATCTTTCAAATTAGTTGACTAACATTAATGCATTTTACTCCTTTTAGAAAAGTGGAGACTACAAAAATTTTTCATTACAGAAATAAATGTAGAATTATTAAGTTATAAAATAGTAATAGAAATAAAAATGAAGGAACACTGTTGTCTAAGATATGAAAATAGGTAATCAAAAACCAGAAGGCAATGATTTCAGTACAAATGCCAAAAAGTTTTATTTTATTATAATTATATTGGTGATAATAATTACGAATTACTGATTAATTTGACACTAGAAGGACACATTAGGCACCATCTCTTATTAAATTTAATAATTATAATTTAATTAAATAATTTTAAATTAAACTGAAAGAAAAGAATCAACCTGGAGTAGGACTCTGTAATTCATAATTATTATCCCCAATATTACACAGCAGTTGGTGTAGCTTTATTGTAATCTATCAGGTTTCAAATATTAACAAAAACAAATGTTTTCGCCTTCACAAAGACCTGCATCAGGTTATTTTTAACAAATTCCAAATTGGAACATTGGAATCCAAATTTTCATTAATATTCGTTACTGGTAGTTAAAGGTTTTGTTTTATGTGATTACCTCCAGTAATTCGGAAAGGAGATAGTTTTAATATGTGATTATCAGGTATCATATGTTTATATTATAATTAGTTAAAAATTTAAATTTTAATTTTAAATTATTGTTTTAATAACTACATTTTACCAACTTTTAACATGCAGTCTATTTTATTAATGTAACACTTTCGATCAATTAATTGACTAGTAGTTAAAGGTTGGTAAAGCATAGTTATTTTTGAAACTGCAGTTCAAGAAGAAAGTATTGTTTTAATAACTTTAAATTAAGTTTGTATGACAATCAAAAATTACTGCTAGTCACAATTTCTTAGCAAAATACTTAATGTTTACATGATAATGTAAATATAGTAATTTAAATTCAAAAATATTCATATATTTGTGTTATTTTGTTTTTATAATTAAATTATTGATACTATCAATTTTATAATTAATAAAACTTAATGTGCATTCTTTCAAAATAAAAATTAGGGTCTTGAGAGNTATTAGAATATATTATTAGTATATCTGAAGTACAGAGCTCCCGTAGGGATTTGGCTTGCTCCCTTATTTATTACGTACTGTACATCACCTCAGTGCAGGGTATTTACATTTATTCAAGTGTTGTGCAAACCATGGCTTCTAAAAAAACAAAGGTGATTTCAATTTTAATAAAGCAAGAAATCATCAGAAGGAGTGAAAGTTGAAACAGACTTTCTTGTCAAATGGGGAGAGGTTCAGGAGTTTACCAACACTCACTATCCAAACATAGCTGAGGCCAACAGGATCAATGATCTCTACAATGACACCCTTGCCCGTCATTTCCAACAGGTGTTGAAGAACAGAGAGAAACAGACCACCTTGGACATGTTTTTCAAGAAGCAAGCTGCCAAAAAACAAAGGATGGAACAAGAGGAGATGACCCTGCAAGCTCCGGTAGCCTCTCCTGAATCTGACTCTGATTAAAAAACAATAACAAGGGACCTGTTGAATGTGTAAAAAGTCTATCTGTATGAATGTGTGAAGAAAGAGTTCCTCCACCTCCTCCTCACATCTGACTACCCAGCATAATTGGTGACTACTCCATTTTCATTTTTTTTATGGTACAGTACGGTTATTTTATGCTGCAGAATGAATTATATATTTTAACATGTATTTCCATGAAAAATGTGTTTCGTATAACGGACTTTTCACTTAATGGACGTGCACCTGGAACGGATTAAGTACATTATACGAAGCACCAATGTATTCCAGTTTTAACATAATTTAACTTATTCCAAAAATTAAATTCCTAATGAAAATATTCTATAATAATTTTTGACTAATTGTTTAATTTGTGAACTGGAAAATTATGTTGTGATATTAAAAGTTACTCTTTATATACTATAGAATCTAATTTATCTCTTTTCAGTATTATGTATATAAGGGTGATGAAATTCTTTCTTTTCTCAGGAAACCTTATGAAGTTTGAGAATTTCAATACAGCACTTCTAACATCCAAAGGTTTATTCATTTAAATTTATTGTTGAAAATAAATTTTAAAAACTCACGCCAATGTTCGTATGACTTATGGATGCAAATTCACTGAGTTCAGCGTTAATAAAGTTTCTTTAGTATTAACACAAGCACTTTCGACGAATGTATAATCGTCGTCTTCAGGTGAAAAGAATAAAATTTTAACGAGACAAACGTGCAGAATATTCCAAAGGAACAAAATATTTAAAATCAAACAGGCGTCCGGAAATTCCGTTAAGAACGTGCAAATAATTTTTAGATNACTTAATGTTTACATGATAATGTAAATATAGTAATTTAAATTCAAAAATATTCATATATTTGTGTTATTTTGTTTTTATAATCCTGAAAATGAAATTATATTAAAAAGCATTTGGACTTTGTGATTTTTAATAACTTAATCTACTCTAAGTAACTGATTATAGTTCTAATCTATTAAATGAATTATTTTTAATACAGTATATAATCAAAGAACATTTGAATTTATTAACCAAATAAAATGTTTTTCCATTTAACATATTTTTGACTTATGGTAAAATGAACATAATCAAAAAGTCTATTTCCACATTATTTAAATATTTAATATATAAACCTGAACAGTCTGGATCCTTCACATATTTTCCTTTATTGTTATAACCAATTGCTCCACAAGTTGCAACAATTTCAGCAGATATTGCAGAATTAAAATCTTCCATCATTTTAAGAAAAGTCTAAAAAATTAAGTGATGTAATAATTAACTATATATATATATATATAAATCAATCTTATAAAATTGTCAATACAGTTAATGTAACTAGTATAAATAAATTATCTTATTTTTTAATTAACTTTCTAAATGAGAAAATACTAAAAATATTAAAATAAAACAATTATTATTAATAAAAGATTTAGATTGTGATTTTAAAATTCAAATATTGTTTAAAAACTTATATTAACTTTTATAGATTATAATGAAGTTTCACTGCTACTTAGGTAAATTCAGATCACAACACAAGTGTCCATACATTGATCATATTTGACCTATTTTATTTCTCTAAATTATTTTAAGAATTCTGTAAATTACCTAGAACACTATCGATAATATAATCTTATTTCTATTCTATAAAGATATTTAATATTACACTATTTTTAAGTTTTTCGCTTATCAGTTCAGTATTTAATTAATATACACACGTTATTTCCTAATAATATTAATACACGTTTATTTTTGGCGCGAGTATTTATAAATATAATGAGTGTTGCCATCCTACATAAAAAACAATTAACAAATTTTGGCTTTAAATTAAAACAAATATTATTTACTCTAATTAAATAAATAATATTATTATTTATCGGTTACGTATAAAATAAAAATCTATCAAAACAATTTATTAAAACTGTAAACTAATTAATTCAAATATATAATATTTATCTCAAATTAAGCCCATGTACACGTGCAGTACATGATCTAGATAAAAATTCTAAAAAAAAAAAAATAGTTAAGCAAAATATATGTTGCTAATGTACACGAAAGTTAAATATATTTGAAATTAACATGTCACTCATTATTCCATCATGCTAACAAAAACTAGTAATCCTTTATTAAAACAGCCTTCATCAGTAATTACGTTAATTCTGTTAATAACGCAATTATTCGAAAATGAAACATAATTTCTTTAGTTAAATAATTCATTCTTTCACTATGATATTTCACATTTTTTCATTATACTGGAAGAATGCATTAAGTACATCCATACCTCGCTATACGGCTGCTCTTTATACGGCATTTCGCTATAACGGCTCTCTTCGATTAAGGCACGTTTTCGATTTACGGCCTAAAATGTTTCGCTATAACGGCAAAAAAAAACTTTTTTTCGATGTCGATATATCTACATGTTGCCAATCTTGCGCAAGCGCAATCTCGATGCACTTTCTTTTCTATTTCCTCTTGTTTACGAGCGTTATTCAGTGTGTGCTCATAAAGCGGCTGGTTTAGACTTGTGTGTGAGTGTTTTATGTACATATTTATTACTGAAGGACGAAATAGACAAGAAGGCAAGACAAACAACGGTGGACAATTTTTTTAAGCCAGGTCCATCCTTACCAGCGAAAAATGACGACAGTGATCTGCAGGTTACCATTTCTTCATCGTCTTCAGATTAAAGCCATTTTTAAAAAATTATGTATGTAAACATACACATATTTTATGTAACATGAAGTTGTTTCATTCTTGTTTATAGATTATTGTTGGTTTTTGGAAGTCTGTTTTTATTTTATGTACAAATGTATGTAGTTCTTGTGTATGTATTTTTGATTTAAATGAAATAAAAAGATAAAATGCATTTTGAATGATAAACCATGTTACATATTTAATAAATTTGGAACCGATCCCATTGAATTTGTATTAGAATAATTGATTCTTTATACGGCTTTTCGCTTTGCGGCCAAGTTTCTTGGAACGTATCTAGGTCGTAAAGCGAGGTATGGGTGTACTACAAATTGATTTCCTTTAGTTTTATGTAGTTTTATAATTATAGCTTAATGTACTATTATATTGATACTGTAGAACAGAGTAGCCAATTGACTTCAATTGACTTTTATTGTATTAAGACTAGTCACAATCTACTGTTAGACAAAATCGATGTCACTATGTAGCATAAGTTCATAGTAACATCTGTATCAGCTGTTTCTTACTACTGTATATACAACATAAGCAAGTATTCATGTTTTCTCTCATTTGTAATTTAATGTTGAAAGTAATTTAATAGAATTTTTTTTATTTAATAAAAAAATTAGTGTTATGAAATTGTAACTAGCAAATACTGTAGCAATCAATTGAAAATTTTTTTGAGATTGACCTGTCGATCACAATTAACTGATTGAACATCCTTGCTGTAGAACAGTGTTTCTCAACCTCTAACGAATCGTCACCCCCTTCAATAAAACCGTTACGTGGTATCGCCCCCTTCACTTCAAAATTCTGATGCCAAGGGCCGAGGCTAATGCCAAATTCATACTGTAGTGAATAGACTATTGACTAATATAATGTTATTTGTTTAATTATTGTACTATATAATAAAAAAACATCTAATTATTCTTAATATAATGTTTTACTATATCGCTCAGAAAATTGTTTTTGTCCCCCTGCCCTAAAATATAAATTGTTACAAATCTCCCCCTCAACATGGAAAAACGCCCACATGGGGGTGATATCGCCCTGTTGAGAAACACTGCTGTAGAATAAACACATGCCCTGTATGCTGGCTGCCCTACAAGATCACAGCTGCTGGATACTGTTATCAGCTGCTATTTATTATCAAAATAGTCTTAAACCAATGTGATCATAATAAGTGGCAACCACAGTATTAATGTCAAGACCTTCTCAGAACCTTTTCCAAAAGACATGTTTTGAATTTTTATTTAATTTCATATGATTTAATAAAATATCTTCCTACTCAATCACTTTATATATTATAAAAGAAATAATTTTTCTCAAATAATCAAAAATTATAACACAAATATGTTTTATAGTTAGAATCATCTACCTTTAATTTACAACTTTTATATAAAATAAAAATTTAACTTTTTACATACCTTATGTTTATATCAAACAAAGTTTTATCTTTAGGATAATACTTAAGAAGAGGTATTAAATCAGTTTTCAAAACTCCAATTCTAGCCAGCTGTCTCCTTATACTATGACTTTCATCATCATTTCTTAAAAATCGAATTAAATCTTTTAAACATTCTGGAATATATAATGAATATAAAATAAATTTAAAACATTTACATTTACTGATTTAATGAATTCAGGTAGTAAATTTTAATTCAACTTAAGTTCATTGTAAAGTTTATTATAATTAATTTTTACAAAAGTAATTACAGCTTATTATAAAATTAAGTTTATTGACCATTGAAATATCTTGAATATATTAATTTGATATTAATTAATTAATTTTAATTAAGTTATTAATATATTCAAGATATCTCAACAATCCTTTTGAGATATAATAAACTCTAAAAATATTTTAAAATTTAATGTAATTATATATTAAATCAATTGTACATACTCATTATTTAATTAATTATAATACTTCTTTGGCTTTTATCAATGTTAACTCCTTTAGTACATCTTTCAAATTAGTTGACTAACATTAATGCATTTTACTCCTTTTAGAAAAGTGGAGACTACAAAAATTTTTCATTACAGAAATAAATGTAGAATTATTAAGTTATAAAATAGTAATAGAAATAAAAATGAAGGAACACTGTTGTCTAAGATATGAAAATAGGTAATCAAAAACCAGAAGGCAATGATTTCAGTACAAATGCCAAAAAGTTTTATTTTATTATAATTATATTGGTGATAATAATTACGAATTACTGATTAATTTGACACTAGAAGGACACATTAGGCACCATCTCTTATTAAATTTAATAATTATAATTTAATTAAATAATTTTAAATTAAACTGAAAGAAAAGAATCAACCTGGAGTAGGACTCTGTAATTCATAATTATTATCCCCAATATTACACAGCAGTTGGTGTAGCTTTATTGTAATCTATCAGGTTTCAAATATTAACAAAAACAAATGTTTTCGCCTTCACAAAGACCTGCATCAGGTTATTTTTAACAAATTCCAAATTGGAACATTGGAATCCAAATTTTCATTAATATTCGTTACTGGTAGTTAAAGGTTTTGTTTTATGTGATTACCTCCAGTAATTCGGAAAGGAGATAGTTTTAATATGTGATTATCAGGTATCATATGTTTATATTATAATTAGTTAAAAATTTAAATTTTAATTTTAAATTATTGTTTTAATAACTACATTTTACCAACTTTTAACATGCAGTCTATTTTATTAATGTAACACTTTCGATCAATTAATTGACTAGTAGTTAAAGGTTGGTAAAGCATAGTTATTTTTGAAACTGCAGTTCAAGAAGAAAGTATTGTTTTAATAACTTTAAATTAAGTTTGTATGACAATCAAAAATTACTGCTAGTCACAATTTCTTAGCAAAATACTTAATGTTTACATGATAATGTAAATATAGTAATTTAAATTCAAAAATATTCATATATTTGTGTTATTTTGTTTTTATAATCCTGAAAATGAAATTATATTAAAAAGCATTTGGACTTTGTGATTTTTAATAACTTAATCTACTCTAAGTAACTGATTATAGTTCTAATCTATTAAATGAATTATTTTTAATACAGTATATAATCAAAGAACATTTGAATTTATTAACCAAATAAAATGTTTTTCCATTTAACATATTTTTGACTTATGGTAAAATGAACATAATCAAAAAGTCTATTTCCACATTATTTAAATATTTAATATATAAACCTGAACAGTCTGGATCCTTCACATATTTTCCTTTATTGTTATAACCAATTGCTCCACAAGTTGCAACAATTTCAGCAGATATTGCAGAATTAAAATCTTCCATCATTTTAAGAAAAGTCTAAAAAATTAAGTGATGTAATAATTAACTATATATATATATATATAAATCAATCTTATAAAATTGTCAATACAGTTAATGTAACTAGTATAAATAAATTATCTTATTTTTTAATTAACTTTCTAAATGAGAAAATACTAAAAATATTAAAATAAAACAATTATTATTAATAAAAGATTTAGATTGTGATTTTAAAATTCAAATATTGTTTAAAAACTTATATTAACTTTTATAGATTATAATGAAGTTTCACTGCTACTTAGGTAAATTCAGATCACAACACAAGTGTCCATACATTGATCATATTTGACCTATTTTATTTCTCTAAATTATTTTAAGAATTCTGTAAATTACCTAGAACACTATCGATAATATAATCTTATTTCTATTCTATAAAGATATTTAATATTACACTATTTTTAAGTTTTTCGCTTATCAGTTCAGTATTTAATTAATATACACACGTTATTTCCTAATAATATTAATACACGTTTATTTTTGGCGCGAGTATTTATAAATATAATGAGTGTTGCCATCCTACATAAAAAACAATTAACAAATTTTGGCTTTAAATTAAAACAAATATTATTTACTCTAATTAAATAAATAATATTATTATTTATCGGTTACGTATAAAATAAAAATCTATCAAAACAATTTATTAAAACTGTAAACTAATTAATTCAAATATATAATATTTATCTCAAATTAAGCCCATGTACACGTGCAGTACATGATCTAGATAAAAATTCTAAAAAAAAAAAAATAGTTAAGCAAAATATATGTTGCTAATGTACACGAAAGTTAAATATATTTGAAATTAACATGTCACTCATTATTCCATCATGCTAACAAAAACTAGTAATCCTTTATTAAAACAGCCTTCATCAGTAATTACGTTAATTCTGTTAATAACGCAATTATTCGAAAATGAAACATAATTTCTTTAGTTAAATAATTCATTCTTTCACTATGATATTTCACATTTTTTCATTATACTGGAAGAATGCATTAAGTACATCCATACCTCGCTATACGGCTGCTCTTTATACGGCATTTCGCTATAACGGCTCTCTTCGATTAAGGCACGTTTTCGATTTACGGCCTAAAATGTTTCGCTATAACGGCAAAAAAAAACTTTTTTTCGATGTCGATATATCTACATGTTGCCAATCTTGCGCAAGCGCAATCTCGATGCACTTTCTTTTCTATTTCCTCTTGTTTACGAGCGTTATTCAGTGTGTGCTCATAAAGCGGCTGGTTTAGACTTGTGTGTGAGTGTTTTATGTACATATTTATTACTGAAGGACGAAATAGACAAGAAGGCAAGACAAACAACGGTGGACAATTTTTTTAAGCCAGGTCCATCCTTACCAGCGAAAAATGACGACAGTGATCTGCAGGTTACCATTTCTTCATCGTCTTCAGATTAAAGCCATTTTTAAAAAATTATGTATGTAAACATACACATATTTTATGTAACATGAAGTTGTTTCATTTTTGTTTATAGATTATTGTTGGTTTTTGGAGTCTGTTTTTATTTTATGTACAAATGTATGTAGTTCTTGTGTATGTATTTTTGATTTAAATGAAATGAAAAGATAAAATGCATTTTGAATGATAAACCATGTTACATATTTAATAAATTTGGAACCGATCCCATTGAATTTGTATTAGAATAATTGATTCTTTATACGGCTTTTCGCTTTGCGGCCAAGTTTCTTGGAACGTATCTAGGTCGTAAAGCGAGGTATGGGTGTAGTTAAATTCAAGACGGCCACCGGATAGCCGAGGCGATAAAAAAGTCAACATGACATCAGCCTACAACTCAGGGTCGAATCTGGGCGAAGCAAGTCCAGGAATTTTTCTGGATAATCTATTCCAAATGAGAATTTTTTTATACAACCAGATAATGCAAAAGCACTGTCAGCTTGCGCTGTCATTGGCCAAAACTAGTCACGACCAAAGTGCGTGTCCTACGTTATCTATCTGATTTCATCGTCTTGTGAGGTTAGCCGACTGGGGTGGAAATGTCAGGACAATCGACCGGTCAACACTGTCGTGTGGGAGTGGAAAAACTCGCTGAGGCAAGTTTTCCATCGTAAACCGTTTAATAAAAATTTCTCTTATAACAAATCCTATAATAAGGCGTAACACTTCTCCAAAGGTGGGAAACAAGTCCGTACAAAAAGTCCAAATGTTCTGACTGTCGTTCTCTTCTTCCAGCGATGGTGGTGTGAAGAGCGACGGCCCCGGGGCGCACAGCACGACTTGGAGAGCTGTCTTCTTGCGATTGTGTGGATCTGGGCGAATCTTGACGGCACGGGAGAGCGAAGACGGATGTCGAACAAGCTTTCGTGAATGAACGGCCGGATCACAAAAACCAGGAGAGGAGCACTACGAACCAAGAACGTCATGTCCTTGAATCGCTCGGTTTTATAAGTTTTTCCCCTAAAGCCGCCTTTTCATTGGTTTCTACTCATCACCTGGTGACAATTCGAAACAGATCGGAGGGCGCGGAAGAGGTCAGTTTCGCAACTAAATACGACTCCCCTCTAGCCACGTTTCCCTCGACTTTAGTCTTTTCTATTGTTTTAATAAAAACTTCCATTGTTCAATCAGGACATTTAATCTCCTTATTTGTGTTTGAAAATGGAGCTCTTTATTTCTCGATAGACTGGTCATCTTCGGACCTTCAAAGCGGCTTCCGTCTTGTGCCTCACAGTCATTTTAGTGGTATAGTATTGTGTAAAATGATTAATTTCAATGTTTCGAAACATTTGAATTAAATCAATAAAGTGAGTCTCTCATTGTTTTGATACATGATTCATTGACGAAATCTCTCTCTCTCTCTCTCTCTCACACACACACACACACCAGATTGAAACTCAATCATTGGGTGAAATACACGGCTCATTCGATATAAGGAAACTCGTGGCTCTCGATAAGACATTGCAAACGTTCAGTCTGTGCTATTGTTTTTAAATTCATAACTTAGACTAAATGAAAAACCACAAATATTTACGGATGGGTAAATGAGCAAATTAAATATGAAATTTAAATATTAAAAAATATAAGGATGACAAAATATAATATCTTCTATGTTCAAAAATATTTAATTAAAAAGCACTACAATAGAAAAATAGAAAAAAGTCAGTTTCCTGAAAATGACGATTAGATAAATCTACAGATATATCATCTTATATAACTTTAACACCATCATTCTAGTACGTTAAAAAATAATCAAAAATGATTTTAAAAAGCGTTATATATTATTAAGTTTCATTAAGATACTAAAACGTACTATAGAGATCGTAAAATAGAAAAACAAGTCTATAAAACCAGAGTCGGTAGATTATCTGGTCTTTCGACTTCCTATCTTCGCTCGTTGCTAAAATCAACTAGAGACAAATGTTACCACCAGGGGCACTGCAAGAGTGCTAGATCGAATCGCTGTGAGGACCAGTAGCGTACCGTAGTGGGGGCGGCAGGGGCGGCCCGCCCCGGGCACTTTTTAGGGGGCGGCAAAATTTCACATTAAATAATAATAATGTCTTGTAAAAATTTGAAACATCCTAATCTATACTTGCATCGCGCCTACGATAGTGCTATCGTCCGGATAGTCCGGGAATCGGTTCGCCGTCCGGATGAACTAGTAATTTTTTCATCCGAGGAAATCCTGCGAAACCTGTTGACCTTTTTTTTATTTTTTTCTTTTGCTTGTACAATTCATTCGCGTTCATATACACCACTAATATCCAATAGAACTATTTTAAACAGGTCGCTGCACTACCACCGAATTTTTTATTGCTTGTTCTGTGACAAAAATGAATTTTGGTCCTTTAAATTGAAATACCTATATAAGGGGGGACGAAATTTTCCTCCGCTCCGGGCGGCTGACATCCACGGTACGCCACTGGTGAGGACGACTGTTTTCTTTTTATTGAAAGATATATAACCTTCGAGTTCGATTTCATAATTTTTTATATGCATTTTATTATAAGAATAAAAAAGCTTTTATTTAAACCCAAAACCAGGTTTATGGATAAATAAATGACACTTAATAAAACATTAAACACTTTTTATCGCTGAGAAATGTTTATTTAATAAAATACGTTCGAACTCATTTACACCTGAGGATGGTTTATTCCTTGAGGCTGAAAATGTTAGTTATTTCTTTTCCACTCAAAAATAAAATATGTATAAAGGTTTACGGCTTTGTGAAACTTTTTTTTTGAGTTTATGCCGTTGAAATAAATAAATAATTTTAAAAAATTGTCTGCTTTGTGTACACGTTTATTGGGCCGCATGCGGCCCGCGGGCCGAGGGGTTGGACACCCCTGGTCTAAAACATTAGTTTTTTTACCATCTACACGCGGACGGCCGAGTGATTAAGGTGACAATCTACTGCTCTGCAGACCGGAATCAAATCCAGACGGATCGAAAAGCCTTAGAAATTTTCGAGGGTGGTCCGTCGGCTGTTTCGGACCCCGTTCCTTGCCATCCGACCACGTCATTTTTGGCCTGATTGAAAACAAAGAATATAAAAAATATCATCCATATGTGTTGTTATTAGCCAAGATCGAATTACGTCCGTTCATCCACTATATTTGATCCCTGTATATTTCTTCCACAATGCAGCATAGAGCTGCATTATGGAAGAAATATACAGGGATGCAAAATATTTATTTACAGAAATATGACGTAACGTAAAAAAACTTACCCAGCATTTTAATGTTAAAATATTTTTAAAATTATAGAAAGAATTTTTTCTCTTACAGAATTTTATCTAATAAAGAGCGACTTTTTATATAGTTCATAGTAAGGGTGCAATGAAAACTGAAATCTGCACGAAATACTTAAAATTTATTTATTTATTTCCTTTTTATTTCTTTATAATTATTTTCTTTAATTTATTTATTTCTTCAAATTCTTAAATTTTATTACGCTCTCATTTATAACTTTAAAATTTCTTTTTAGCACACGAATCAAATACAATTCTGTACAGTATATTAAATTACATTATCCGAATCTTTCTTTCTTCATTTCTCGGAAAAATCCGAAACGTTCATCTAAATTACGAAACTTGTTAGAGCTTAACACTTAAAAAAACAAAAATAGTAATATATCAATAGCATCAATAGCGATGTATCAATGAAAACAGTATTAATTAATAGTACTGTACTGTAATTTATACTCAACTACAACTATCAACAATATAGTCTATACAGAACAAAGCGTTTTTATTTGCGTTTAATAGCTACAATTATTAAAAATTTTGAATTAGATTTTTTAAAATGTTTACTGGTATATTAATCGTAAATAATAATAGAAACTTTCAAAAAGATAGACTAATCGGACACACCTATTATTTACTACAAAAGTCATATTTTAATAGGCGCTGCAGTGCGCTAGTATGCTTCTTAAAATAGCAGGTGGGGCTTTATTGGCAATGCCGTGAGCGACGGAATTGCGTTTCCTAGCGAAAGTTTCGATATCGTCGATTTATTTGATACGATTAATTTACACGTTTTGTGTGACGTTTCGACACGTGCTAGGATCGGCGAAATCAAAAGCCTTAATGAATAATCTACAGTTAATTTTGCATACCAACAAGTGTTTAGTCGTATGAGAACATATTGAAGAAAAATGAGTACAAAATCCGATTATGCTAAAGCCAAGTTCGCATTTGATGTTTTTAACTTTCTCCCTCAAGGCCACGAAAAGGCACTTAAGCAGGCTTTCTATAATACGGCTGCAATTTTACTTGTTTTAATCGTATTTGTAGGTGCCGTTGCCGTATATTTTGTATTGGAACCATTTCTCCGTCCTCTTCTGTGGGCTGTGCTGTTTGGAAGTGTTTTGCATCCGTTCAAAGCCAGCTTAGCTTATGTATTCAAAAACTGGTTGCAAGGTCTTCAAACCACAAATACTCCTTTAGTTGTTGGCTCAATTGTAATGCCTTTTAGATTCGTTGATAATATGTCCGAAACCGTCGGCGACTTCTTGCTTAAGTATATTAAAGCTATCGTGGCGGTGTCTGTGGGAATTCCTATTCTGTTACTCATTTACAATTTTCTTCCGCACACCTTGTTGTGTGGAATGTATTCTGGGTTAATAGTAATCTTACGTTGGATCTCAAATATATTGGAATTTTTTAGCACTGCGTATTATTTGGTAAGTTTTTAAAAATAGTTTTTAATTATGGTAGAACCTGATTAACTGATGAATATGCTGTAATTCTTAAAAGTGGTAACATACATTTTGAAGTGTTTTCTTTGGAAATTGTTTACAAACTGTCTGGGGGAATTTTCTCTTAATTTTTTCTTTAAAAGATACATATTTGTATACATTTCCAAAATACATATAAATTTTTGAGGGCGACCCATATAAAAAGTGATATATCTTTATAAATCTTTTATGTTTGTAAGTTTTAATACGAAATGCAGATAAATATACCTCATAACTAAAAATGCAGATAAAACACACATGGCTGTGTGTTTTATCTGCATTTTTAGTTATGAGGTAGCATCGATCCATGTTAACTTAGCTAATCATGGTTCTACTGTAATTATATTTTGTTGGACACTTTTGAACTATTTGTATTAATTCAAAAATTTGAGCTTTTTCATTTTTTACTTGCAACTGTGACATTTGATAGTTGTAATAATATATATCAGTAAAATTTACAAATTTTATCTAAATATAGCCATTAGATTATGAACAATGCAATAAACTGTTTTTATAAAATATTGGGCAGAAAAAAAGAAAACATTGAATAATTGTAAAACTTTATAAGCTTTCTTGTAACATGGAATAAACTGTACTTCAAAAAGTAACTCTCAGATATGCACATTTTTACAAAGATAATCAATAATGATAGTTAAATCATTTCATAAAAGATGTCTTGATATTGGGTAAGCTGAATTGTTTGCCATCTGTCTATTGGCTATATTTAGCTAAAATTTGCAAATAAGAGGTTTTTATTAGTAAATGAAATTTGAATCAAGTGGAATGTTTTCACTCTGTCAGATGCCCTTAGCATTTTGCTATGATTATGGATTATTGCTATATGAGCAAAAACACCAAATGGAATCACAGATCTAATGGTATATGAATTGACAAGATATTCTGTTTAAAATTTTTTACAACCCATATTAGATACACAAACAAACAAATCAAATACATCTAAAAATTTGGTCCTGATTTAAAAATTTGTCAATTGTTTGCTAGAAAAAGTTATCTATATGTTAAATGCATTTAGTGATTTTATTAGAAAATATCATATGCATTTTATCGTGTATATATCAGTGAATAATTTTGTCAACAATGCACTTTGCATTATGTAAACATTTTTAATTCTGTTCTAATAAAGAGAAAAATATGAATATTAAATACTGTTCCATTTTTTTTATTTTAAATTTTTGTTGATTTTTGCAATTTAACACTGCAGGAAATAACTTTTAGAGGACTGAGAGTTACTCCTTACTCAAACCTACAGTTCCTTTTTGATTTTTTTTTTTATACTTGTACAGGGATAGCCTATAAATTTGTTTCTAATCTATAATAATAATATCCAAAATTTAGTTTGATCATTTACGGCAGTTGTAGGTGTATTTGGTAGCCTATAACTATAGCAAAATACCAATAACGTCTGCAAAGACAAAATTTTGTCAATTACTAGACTAGTAAGAGTGCTTTCATGCCACTACACTAGTGGAAGTATCACAATCACTACATTAATCAATACAAATGATTAAAAGTAGATAAGTACTAGATAAATGATTTCTTACTTCTGTCCATTTATTTGCTTTACTCCCATTATTATAACTGTTTTTCATCTCTCCCTTTTTTACTTTACTTAATTTGACAAAATATCTTTTTAAAGATGGACTTAGTTGAAGTTTTTGCAAAAATTATATCTTGTTATCTAATTTTATTATTTAATACTGTATAATCAGATGTGTATTCCTTTGTTCTTTTCAATTGGGCTTTTGAAATTTAATCCTTCAATTGAAAGGATCATTAGATTTTTCATCGTATACATACAGTGCAGTCCATAAATTTTAGGACAGGAATTATAAAAAATCAAAAATACATGTTAGAAAGGTAACACACATTTTTTTTAATTCAAGTATGATCAATTGGATATATGCAGGTTTTAGTATGGCCATACAATTTTCAGAAATCTGTAAGAAAATTCCACTTTTCCAATTTTGTTCAATTTGTTGGTCACAGCTTTTTGGATGATAGGAATTTCTGCAAATTGGTGTTGAGCAATGAGCAAGTAAAATAAATATATCCCTCATATAAGCAGACAGCAGAGTGCAGAGATGTGGTGGTGTACTTTATAAATAATTGTGCTTTAGTAATAGATCTCAAGCATGGTGATTAAAATTATGGTATTATGGTGTGAGAGTAGCCAAGGGTATAAGTAAATTACCTATATCACTTACTGGCGCACGATCGTGAGATCGGCTCTCGGAACTTTTTATAGGAGGGCGGTAATATTTAGGAAAAGGGGATTCAAGACTGTGAAGTCTTTATCCCAAATTGTCAGGGTCCCGACACCAGTTAATCAATCTTATAACACGCGGATTAACATGCGTGAAGTATACTTATTAAGATGTCATATTAGGAGACATTTAATAAAAACCGAAATAATAAATTTAATAAAACAAGAAAATAAATCATACAAAAATCTCAATGAACGAGAGATAGAAATACCACAAGTAACCTACAAATCGAGAGACAGCTATACTTATCTTCTACACTATTCGCGATCGAGAGAGAGAGCTCACAAAAATCGTTATAAAACATACGACCTGTTTCAGTTGTCGTTCGTCTTCTTCTCTGTATGCAAGGGACACTTTGTTGATAAAGTTCATTTACTTCTTCGTATGGGAGATCACTATGTGCACAAATATAAAGGTATCACTTCTATGTGCAAACTCTAGACTTATTCTGTATGTGACTCGTCTAAGGACGTTGGTCATCAGGAGGGAAACGTATGTGGAGTTTGGACGCTTTCGGATCTGTCGCTGAACTCCTCGAATTCGGACTAATTTCCCTTATATCTCCTGAATTTCGATCAATCATCACCCAGTAACTCTTTCATGAGAACGGATGAAAGGGGAATGAATGAGGGGTAACCATTTCCCATCTGAGCAGGATTTTAACCAGATAAGGGAAAGTCAGAGGATGTTCTCTTCTGTGAAAGGAAGTAACATCTGTTATCTGCCTTTTCCCACGTTAAAACAGTATTTTTCTCACCAAAAATGAAGTAACATTTTGTGTCGATATTTTAACATAATTAATAAAATTATTAGCTTAGACCCAGGGGCCTTTTGGGTCTCACAATGGCATAAAACTCCTAGCATCAGTTCTAGTTATAAACTTTTTCAAAATTTCTATTGCTTTTTGTTTTCATGTCATAAGCACATAAGATTTTATAATTTACTTATATGCTATATACCATACTAATTATACTAAGTATACTAATTTATTATATATGTAGTAGAGCGTCGTTTATTCGAAAGTCAATTATCCGAAAGAATTCCAGTCTGCAAATTTAAATTTTCGCCAGTGCTGTGCCACTGCAATCTTTCGCTATGTCTTGGGTTACTCAAATATTTTACATTTTTGATACTAAATTAACTTCTGAAGTATAATTTTTTAATGTTTTTATATTTTTAATATATTTATTTTGTTTGTACAAAATAAAAAAATAATTTTTAATGATACAATAGTCTTTGTTAGGGTTAACATCGACGAAAATTTGACGCGAAGTGACACACAACGGAGAAAAATTTCAACATGCGATAGGTTAATATATTTTTTCGTACATAATCGGTTATCCGAAATATCAATTTTCCGAACAACTCCAGTCCCCAATTGATTCGGATAAACGACGCTCTACTGTATATTTATTTTATACTACTTTACATAGTACAAATAGATTAAAACAATTCAGAACTGTTTTTTTTTTTTTTAAGTAGTGTAATATAGTAGAATTTAAATATATAAATTATATTAATCATCTTTAAAATTAAACTTTATATATATATGAACAAAAATATGAATACTTTATAAATAAGCATTGATAAGCTTTCTTTCAAAACTGTGTATTTAACTAAAATATCAAATCATCACTTTCTTGTTCTATATTTAACTCTGCATTATTTTTGGTTAATTACATTTCATAAATTCTTGGATCTTTTTGGATTCAGTTTGGCAAAGATAACCTCATAAAAAATTTTCCTGATATTTAGGCAATATAGAAAAGAACAAAGTAGATGTAAGAATTTTTAAATGTAGGTAATTAACCAAAATTATGTAGGAATTAAATGTAGGAATTAAATTTTTTGTTATTAAATGTTATAGATTTGAAAGAAATAAAAGACATTTACATTTGTTTTAGAAAAACATTTATAAATACAGTAAGACCCCACTTAACATGGGGGATGCGTTCCTAGACGACAAAGCGATGAGTGAAACAGTGTTAAATGAGACCATTTTAACATAGAGTAAATAGGGATAGGGGAACACATGACCAAAAAATAAGCACATTTTACTATAATTTTAAGTTATTTTTATATAAATTTTTGCATAATANGTCTTCACAATTTGAAATCCATCGATCTCACGACGAAATGCTCGTATACACGCGCGTCATCTATCGTAGGATAAATGTACTATGCCAGAAACCTTCGCGGGAGTGTATTAAACAACTTCCCAAAGTTTCACGGCAATCGTATAAACGGTATGGTAATGCATGAAGGACAGACACACACACACACACACACACATTCATTTTTATATTATATAAATTTTTGCATAATAATATATGTTAAATAATACATAAACATATTCCCACAGAAATGTAAAGTTAATTTTTTGTGACGAAGGTCCTGGCTCTTCTGAAATTCTTGTTTTTTGTGATGAAGTCATGTAGTTTCATTGATTGCTTTCTTTTTATTTCCTTAAGTAAATGTCGGAGCAGAAGATCACATCCAAAACACCTCGTTTTGCTTTGGCACTCCTATCAAAATCTGGATCATTGGCTACAATTTGATCAACAATTTCGGTTATTGTTACCAAACTTTTACTAAGAAAATCTGTAGAGAAATTTTTTGGGTTCTTTGTCTTCAGAATCTCTATTTTCCAGTTCTACATGAATTCCTTATTCTGCCAGTTCTTGAAGGTTGTTGTTGGTAAGGCTCTTACCAGAAACCTGCAGTTATCCTAATATCCTGCTTGTCTACATCTCCTGTATCGATTAAGTTGACAATTTTGTCAACCTAACAATACAATGATAGTCTCTTCTCGATGACAATTCTTGGATACCTTCAGCTATAACTACTTACACACTCCGTTCATGCATTTATCAGTTATTTCTTGCCAAACGAAGTCGAAATTTCCTATGGCATCCACGATGTTATATTTTTTTCAAAATTGCACAAAACAAACATAGATTTAAGGGAAGTATATCACTACGACGAATTGCCACCTTTTGCTGATTGGTTTGTGTTTGGAAATAATCGTATTTTATATGAATCAATGAAATACGAATCAGCATAAATTTTGAGCATTTTTTAGGTGTCAAGCAGACCGCGTTATATTGAATCAGTGTTAAGCAGGATCTTACTGTATATATGTTTATGGGCTACATGAACATGTCATATGCTATGGAACCTCAATTTATTTGACCTCTGATTAACTGAAGTTCTGTATTATCTAAGGCAAATCTATAAGTGAATACACTATTCTTACAATTCATAAAAGCTTTGCTATGAATGTACTGAGTACATAACTGCTTGTGAATGCATAAGTACTGTAGTAATTTTAACCATTAGTGTCAACTTTTTAAATATATTAAATGGGCTCAAAGTAGGACTAAACTGGCTGTAAAATTTTAAAGAAAAATAAATATAAATCAATCACATCCAGTGTTAATATTATGCATTTGCTTTATACAAACACTTAGGTTGTTACAAAATATAAATATCTAATATCATAATCAGCCACTGCATGACCACATCATCTACCTGAATTACTTTTTGGTAGATTTAAGAAATATTTTTTACAAAATGAAAATTAATTGAATTTCTTGGTTTGAAAAAAATATTTGAAATACTATATTGTCTGAAAAAGGAAAATTGTGAGGATTAGGAATGGCTTGGATATGATTTAAAATTGGTGGTAGATTTATTCTAGTGTGATTTTCATATGAGATCTCAATTTTAAGTGATGTGATATACACAGGGTCGACAAATAAGTAATATTGCTATGATAAGTATACAGTAAGACCCGCTTAATGCAGGGAATGTGTTCCTAGACGACAAAGTGTTAAACAAAACAGTGTTAAATGAGATCATTTTAACATAAACATAGAGTAAATACAGTAAATACATAGAGCAAATAGGGATAGGGGAACACGCGACCATAATTTAAAATTTATAATTTTATTTATTAATAATTTATAATTTTAAATTATTTTTATATTGATTTGCATAATAATATGTTAAATAACATATAAATATAAGCACACAGAAATGTAAATTTCATTTTTTGTGATGAAGGTTCTGACTTTTCTGAAATTCTTGTTTTTTTTTTTTTTTTTTTTTTTTTTTTTGTAATAAAGTCGTGAAGTTTCATTTGTCACTTTTTTCTTTCCTTAAGCATATGTCAGTAGCAGAAGATTGCATCCAAAATGCCTCGTTTCGCTTTTGCACTCCTTTCAAAATTTGGATCATTCACTACAATTTGATCAATGATTTCAGTTATTGTTACCAAATTTTTACTAAGGAAATCTGTAGAGAAATTTTTTGGGTTCTTCATTTTCAGAATCCCTATTTTCCAGTTCTACATGAATTCCTTGTTCTGCCAGTTCTTGAAGATCGTCATTGGTAAGACACTCACCAGAAATCTGTGGTAACTCCTCAATGTCCCGCTCGTCTACATCTCCTAGTCCTGCTGTATCGATTAGGTTGACAACTTAGTTAACCTAACGATACAGTGATAGGCTCTTCTCATTGAGAATTCTTGGATACCTTCAGCCATAACTTCTTCCACACTTTGTTCGTGCATTTATTGGTTAATTCTTGCCAAACGAAGTCGATATTGCCTATGGCATCCATGATGATATTTTTTTTTCCAAAATTGCACCAAACAAACATAGATTTAAAGAAAGTACACTTTTTGCCACCTTTTGCTGATTGGTTCGTGTTCGTAAATAATCGTATTATATATGAATCAATGAAATGGCATGATAATTTAAATCGGCATAAATTTTGAGCTTTTTTAGGCTTTGAGCAGACCACATTATATTGAATCAGTGTTAAGTGAGGCAGCGTTAAGTTGGGTCTTGTTGTATTTAAACCAGTGGTAGTCAACCTGGTCCCTACCGCTCATTAGTATGTGATTTGAGCTTTCGTGGTGGTCAGTAGTGGTTTTGTCTGATGCTGAAGCTACTTTCCATCATCACCACGCATCTATGACTCACTGACGGAGCAGGTTGTACTGTAACAATGGCCATCACTCGAGTTGAGCTCATTTTGTGGTGGGGTCGGCATTGCCAGATTTAGCTATTTTTTCAGTTTGACGTAAAAAAACACTTGGCACACTGGCCAAAAAAATTTCTGTGTATTATAAACATATGCAAAATATAAATAAAAACATAAATTTAACTATATAATTTTACTAAACCACCACTCAAAAATTACAAGTACTTTGCAGTTGTGCTAAATTAACTTACTGCTGAACCGGTGGGCAGTTAGAAAATTTTATTACCAACAAAGATACAAAAGTGGGCAGTAGGCATAAAAAGGTTGACTATCCCTGATTTAAACAATGCAGAGAATATACTGGTAAAATGGCCTATACAGTAAATAATAGGTATCCAGTTTTCTGCAGAGATATTTATTTGATAATTTCAATAAAAACAACTGTACAATACTTTTTAAGTTGCCACCACACAAATAATTCTAAAGTACAAAGAAATAAATTCTGTAAGTCCAAATTATTGGGTGCCCAAGCCATTGGCCAAGTGAAGATTAAAAGCTCTATTTCCATAAAAATTGAAAATCAAGTTGTACACTTGTCATCATGCCTAATTAGTATCCTTTATTCATAATGTCCAATATTCTGCATGAAAAGTGTTCTGTAATAATTACCATGCAGATGCATTGCCAATTATGCTACTTGGTCTTCCATCCAATCTTTGTTTCCAGAGCTATTAATTTATATATATATAATCAGACTGGTCAGTCATGGCAATGCATCTGCACAGTTATCAGATGTTATGGGTTTGAGTCCCACTTTGGACCAATTCTTTTCTTCCAGAAATTCTAAATTAAAATTAATTTATTATAATTATTAAAGTTATCACAAGATCGTAGCTTAACCACTATCTCTAGACATATTATTTTATATCTAATTATTAATTTAGCCTTATTACAGCCTGATAATTTGGCAGATTGTCTGGCTTTAATCAAAAATTGGGTTTGTTGTTTCTATAGCAAACTTTACTTTTGAAGATGAAATTAATAGTTTGAAAATGTTTAGTGTATAATCTTAACTTTCAGATGTCTAAAAATTTATTTACCTTGGTGGTATATAATTGAAAAAGTTAAGAATTTAGTCTGAGGTAAATTATATTAGAAATTTAAAATTAGTGTGTGCATTTAGTGTGATTTATAAAATTTATTATTATTATTTTTTTTTAAATATATTTTTATAAGCTAATTTGAATGTTGTTTAAAAATTTATAAAAATAAAAAATTAAATGACACAATATTATTTTTAGGTTTGGACAATCATTATTGGTTATATGGTAACATTATGGTTTTGGTGGACCCCTCAATCCAAAGATATTTTGTGTAAAATTTCCATAATAATATGGACTATTTTAGTATTTCATATTGCGACAATCACTGGATCATTGAGAGTTCCTATATTATTGATATCTATAATATTACTGATGATGGGATTTATAACAGAAGTTAAAAGTAAACAAGATGAAAATCTCTCTCAAGGTAAGTTTTTTTTTCCATGAAATTTTTGTATTTGTTTAGTAGTTAATTTTTTTTCATAATGAAAGTACTGTATAATTAAATTTAATACAATTTTCTAATGTTAAAATTTTGAAATATAATTTATTAAAAATTAATAGTTTGTGCATTTGTTGCTATAAAATAATTTTTTTTCAAAATCAATGAACATTTAATAAATTATTAGAAGTTGGTAGTCATAAAGTAATTGCTACTGTATATCACTCAATCACACAATTTTCTTCAACAGCAAAAAAGATTTATTAAGCTAGAAAAACAACTAATGTTTTTGGTCATATTTAATGATCTTCATCCAAAAATCAAACATTTACAAATACTAACAGAAATAGAACAGAAGTATTTGAATGCCAAATGTGTTTTAAATAAAAAAAAAAAGTTGTATGTGATTGAGTTTAGAAGTTATTCATGATAAAAAATTTGTTATAAAGATATTTAACCCAATACATTTGTGAAAATTAACACTTTTGTCACTTTTTAAAATTAGTTCAGTTAAAAATTTTTTTGTTTAATATTTCAAACTTATTTTTGTATTTTGTTTTCCATATTGTATAGATGAAAAAAGTACAGAAATTCAAAGAGCTACAACTCCACTAGTTACACTTCAAGCAGGTTGGGCATGGATTGTTGGCACACCAAATTCTCCATCAGCTGTGAAGGTAAAATATTTTTGAAAATAATAATAATAATAAACAAACAAACAAAATATACAAACATGTTGAAGAACACAACATTCTTACGGAACAACAAAAAGGTTGCCGTAGAAATCACAGGGGGTGCAAAGAACAGTTACTCATAGATTCAGTCATTCTACAGCAAGCACACAAACAACACAGAAACATACACATGGCATATATAGACTACAAAAAAGCATTCGACAGTGTTCCACACAGTTGGCTGCTACATATTCTACACATGTACAAAATACATCCATCACTCATTGCATTCTTCGAAAACACTATGCAGCACTGGAGAACAACACTACATCTCAGGGTTAGTAACACTTCCATACAAACAAACGNCAGAAAAGCATTCGACAGTGTTCCACACAGTTGGCTGCTACATATTCTACACATGTACAAAATACATCCATCACTCATTGCATTCTTCGAAAACACTATGCAGCACTGGAGAACAACACTGCATCTCAGGGTTAGTAATACTTCCATACAAACAAACGAAATATTCATTAGGTGAGGAATTTTTCAAGGAGATTCCTTGAGTCCTCTCTGGTTCTGCCTAGCCCTGAACCCATTATCCAACATGTTAAACAACACACATTATGGCTACAATATCAGAAACGAAAAAACAACACAGTTTACACTATCACATCTCATGTACATGGACGACATAAAACTTTATGCATCCACACAGAAACAACTTTATCAACTCCTACAAATCACACACTCATACACCAAGGACATACAAATGGAGTTTGGCCTAGACAAATGCAAAAAACTTCACATAGAAAAAGGAATCCTGAAGAAAGAAGATTTTGCACTTGGAAATGGAGACATTATTGAATCCATGGAAGAGGGCGAGTTCTACGAGTATTTAGGATTCCAACAGGCCAAAGTAACAGAACATACACAAATAAAGCAACGATTAATTAAAGAATACCAAAGTAGGTTAAATGCCATTCTCAAAACACAGCTAAATGCAAAACACACAGTTAAAGCAATAAACACATATGTCATCCCAGTGCTCTTTTGGAGTTATACATTGGACTCACACAGATCTTGAGCAACTCCAAAGGAAAACAAGAACAACACTTACTAAGCATAAACAACATCATCCTAAGTCTGCCAGAGAAAGATTAACCCTTCCATGTAAAGATGGCGGACGTGGCCTGATTGACATAGTTAACCTTCACTACAAACAAATACAGTCACTGTGAGAGTTTTTCTACAGGAAACAAGAAACATCACAATTACATAAACAGTAACTCTAGCAGACTCAAATAGCACACCATTAAACTTACACTCGCATCATACAGACATGACACAACACATAAAAAGCATAGACATCATCAAGCAATTGTGGGCTCGAAAGGCACTCCATGGCAGGCATCCTTACGACCTGGCCCAGGATTTTGTTGACAAAACTGCGTCAAACAGTTGGTTAGATCGGGGATGCCTCTTTGGGGAGACGGAAGGATTCATGATTGCCGTACAGGATCAGGTCATAAATACTAAAAACTACAGAAAATACATACTCAAAGATACAACACTCACAAATGACACATACAGAAAATGTCACATTGTGCCAGAAACTATACAACACATCACATCTGGATGCAAGCTCTTGGCACAGACAGATTATTTACACAGACATAATCAAGTAGCAAATATAATACACCAAGAGCTTGCAAAGAAACACAACTTGGTAGACATTCACAAACCATACTACAAATACATTCCACAGACAGTATTGGAAAACAACATGCACAAAATGTACTACGACAGAGCCATAATCACAGATAAAATAATTTATCACAACAGACCAGACATCACACTCATTGACAAACACAATAAAATCACATACATTATAGACATAGCCATTCCAAACACTCACAATGTACAAAACACATGCACTGAAAAAATTAGCAAGTACACAGAAAATAAGGCATCTGTGGAGGATGGAAAGGGTGCTTATTGTACCTGTCATTCTCTCCCATACAGGTGTGATACCATACACACTACACAAAAGCCTGGGAACATTACAATTGAGTAGAAATACATACATCACACTACAGAAGGCCACTATATTGAATACATGCCACATTGTTAGGAAATTCCTGAATACAGACTCACTTATTTAATTTTAGTTTTGTTTTGGTTTCTATGACTTGACTCTGGTCCGGCATAGTACACAGCCACCGGTGTGAACCGAGTATAACTCACAAAACTGAACATAATAATAATATCAAATGTTTTGAATAAAGTTATGTTAAATATTTAATAAAGCAAGTTCAAATGATATTTACTATTATGTTTGAATTAAGTAGCATTGTTTTCATGTTATAAAGAAAAGATTTTATCATTATAAATTTTTTAAAAGTTTTTGTTTTAAACAATTATAACTTTTTCTTTAGTAGTAGTATTATTATTATTATTATTATTTAAAATGTAATTTTAATGATTGAATTTTAAAATATTTAAGTCAATTATAATGGAAAAAAATATTTAAAAAGTAAATTATTTGAAAAGCCACTATTTACTGTTTCACAATTGATAATAAATACAGCGTGTACACTTAAACATCTGTTCGGAAGCATGAAAGATATTTCCAGATTATGTTGTAGACTTAAGCAGACATAAAATATGATACCATGCACCCATTCTGCTGCTATCTGCAGCTAGCACAATGTGTAGAGGATGCCACATGGTGATTTGATTGGTGGTGCAATATGATGATAAGTTTACAACATGACAAATCACAACTCCTTCAGCACATTTTATGGACTGACGAGGCATTGTTTTCCCAGAATGGAATGTATAACTATCACAATCTGCACAACTGAGCAGAGCATGTTCCATAATGCATGCAACATACAACACAAAATGCATTTTATCCTAAACATCTGGTGTGGAATTTGGAATGGGCAACTTCTTGGTTCCATATTCATTGACCGTATTCTGCTTAGTGATAGATATATGAAAGTTCTAAATGCAACAGCAAACAAATGGCTTGATGACTTACCATTGACATAACTACAGCAGATTTAATACTAGCACAATGGCATACCACTTCATTTATAGACAGACATCAGTGGCTCACAGAATTGTTTAGAAATCATTAGACTGGATGACAATGCTCTATTCCTTGGTTACCAGACTTGACCCCTTTGGATTTTTTTCTATGGGTACCAACTAAACGCATCAATGTCACATGATGTTGACAAAGTGGAGAGAGATGTATACAAATACCTGTGAAACAAAAAAAAAATAAGGAATGCCTTGTGCCATCCATAATACCACATGCTATTGTCTACATCTTTGTATTGCTGCTGAAGACAGTTGTTTTGAACTTGTTCTCTAGTAAAATAAAGTTCTTTTTTTGTATCAGTTTCTGCAATGTTGTCTATCCTTTACAACCAGAGATCATATGTTTTGCTAAATTGATTTCCTGTGCCATATGCATATGGCACAGGAAATCAATTTAGCAAAACATCTGGAAAGCTGGAAAGATCACTTTTTATCGTTGATAGGGGTTTAAGTGGACCCTTTTTATATTGGTAGTTGTTAAATAAAACATTATTCAAAATTTCTCTAGTAGTTGCATAGAAATTGCTGCAGATTAGGATAGAGGAACACGAGGACAGCAGTGGCGTGCCGTCATTAGAAGCGTTGGAAGCGCCGCTTCCCTCGTATTCTCTAAAAAATAAATAAATATTAATTTTAATTATATGAAAATAATCGCACAATATTTTATTATAACCGCATTATGTATCTTATTACAAATTTCTATACTACACGTGGAAAAAAACAAAACAAAAAATTGCTATTGTATATTAGAATATTAGTGACGGAGTGTAATCTCCTGTATTTTCAGATTACGAAAAGCCAGATTTGCGCATGCGCTTTACAGAGCACCAACCTCACCCGGTTTAGCCGGTGGAAGCCTACGACCTTGGGTGAAAGCTGCACACATATAAAGATTACAATTCTATCAAGGACCGGTTCTGGGCTGTTAGCCGCCTGCCCACTAGATATTTCGATTACGTGAATAACGAGTAGATTTATAACTTAACCCAACCGATAAGAATTTACTGGTATGTTTTTACGATAGTTCTGTATAGTTGACAGGAGTTTAAAAAATCCATTAAAATATTTGATATATTTATTCCGCTCTCCGATTTTATATTACTCACGGATTTCGATGTTAAACCAGTGATATTACGATTTCGTACATCCCATCTTTAAGGGGATGTAGAAAAAAACGTGTACAATTCTTGTATAATGTTAAAAAATTAACCGTTACTTCGACAGCGTCATTTACAACTAAATTTAATGAATGAGAGAGATGCACGAGGTACAGAAAAGGCTCTAGAATTTATTTTCCTTAAATTTACGATTTATGTATCCGTTTGTCATAAAAATTTGTCTTTCCACTTTTTTCCCGAGACTACAAATATTCGAGTACAAAGTAACCGGTTTCGACTTATTTCTACTTAAGAAGTAGTTAAATAATTAAGCGATTAGGGAATTGGGGACATAAACAAAACCCTGATGAAAGAGCCGGAATATTACTTAAACAAAAGCTTAACCGAACCAATCTATAGCCGAGTACAGTGGGGACTGATTTCTTCGAAATACTGTATTAGATGTAATAAAGACAGAAATTTTTCCAGTTCGACGAGAGTGACCGAAAAGTTGTAAATTTTGGAAATTTCCGTGGACAACACCTGGTCCTAAAACGAATTAGTTAGAAAACAAAAGACGGACAATCTATTAAGTTTAACATTTAGACTTTTACAGCTATGGTGAGAAACGTTTAAAATTTACAAGAACCCTGTCGCGTCTTTTGAGGTATATTAGTGATGCGACAAAAGAAACATTTGACATTGCCAAATCCCGAGGGTATCGGCACCCTCGGGATTTGGCAGCCCGCGTGCATGTACAGTACACACCGCACACCTAGCAGGACCGTCTCTGATTCCACTCGTAGGGAGCTATTTGACTAAGTGATTAAGATTTAAAGAGTAAAGAATATTTTATGTTATTTTCATGTACGTTTCATTACAAAGTTATATTTAATTATAATTTTCTTTAAAAGTATATTCATACAATTGAAGAATGTTTTGTACCAGGTATGTATATCCACCACACATTTTATTTCACCAAGTAAGTTTTTATAATTTTATTTTTAATTTTAGCCCTTATATCGTGGCTAGCGATTCGGAATGTAATTGCGATATTGAAAATTTATTTTAAAAAAGTTTTGGCTCGAGATCATATAATGAAAAAGAAAACATTATTAAAAGAGAAAGGCCAATGCCTAAGTTAAATATAAACACTTCAATAAAAAAATTTGTTCGATATTTTCACGATAAAATGGCTCTGTAAATGCATAAAAATGCATTTACAGAGTGAAATTAGTGTGTGGAATAAGAATGTCTTTGACAATTTAGCTGGCAAAAGACACGAAAAATCGTCGATTCTTTCGTATTTGAAGCAATTTGGAAATCGAAGCGGAATAGAATTTAACATTAGTAAATAATATAAAATAAATATTGAAAATTGTAACGAGATAATTATGGGTAATAGATATTTAAATAAATAGATGTTATATGTTTTTATCAAAGCAAGAATTGACATTTAGAGGGCATATGGAATATATTGGATCTAATAACAGAGGTAATTATAATGAACTTGTTTATTAAGTACGTCAGATAAATAATCTATTAAAAATACATTTAAAGAAAGAATTAACTGGTTGCCCCTGGATGTCGGCTTCTTATAGAAACACAGCTTCCCTATCATCAAATGTCACGGCACGCCCCTGGAGGACAGGACATCAGAACAGGAAAAGTTACTGGTATACTGAGTCAGGAAGCTTTAAAAAATGAAAACACAGTAGATTGGAAATGAGGTAGAAGTTTGAAGATAGTAAGGAAAAGGAAATTTGGACATTGCCAGAAAAGAATGGATATATGAAAGGTGGTGAAGTAATTAATGGAAGAGACTACCCTTCTTCCACTTGGTGTAGGTGGAGAAATTGAATAGTTTTCTTAGTGGGAAGTAGGATTGTTAGCTGGTCAAGTGTTGGTAGTTTTATTTTTAATTCAGCATTATAAAGTAAGTGAATGGCTATTAATGATTTTGTAAAGAAGTTCTGTCCCAGTTGTTGGGCTTGGTTTCCCAAGTGCTAGAGAAACAGTAATTAATTTAAATTGGTCTTTCTTATTACCATAACCCGTTGTAATAAATGCAGGGTGTGGCAGCGGAGTAAAGTAAAAAGCGAACTGCTTGGTTTGAACACAGAGTTTAATCTAAGCTGTATATACTACATATACCAAAAACGAAGGGAGACAAGGCAGAAGGTACAAGAATCTAGTTACATAAACAAAAGTCTAGATGTCATCTGGAATGTGTCATGATACTCTCACCAACAAATATTAAATTTATATACATTTTTTTATGATGAAACTGGAATGAATATATGATTAATAGGAATAGATTAATTCTACTTTTAAAAAATATTTTGAGAAATATTACTAAATAAATTGATTTAATATATAAAAAAAGTAATTTATATTGTTAAATATATGCCTTACAGTCCTTAATTCTAATTTATCATTAATTGTCTACTTGGACACAACTTATTATTAGGACCTTAATAATAAGTTATGTCCAAGTAGACAATCAATGGTAAAGTAATTTATATTGATTTATTTAAACATTGCAAATTATTTTGCAGAGTTATGATGAATGTTAAAGATTTTAATAAATTTCTCTAATTCAGTGAAATGTAAAAATTAACTTCTTTCTAAAATTAAAAGTTACTTTTTGTTGGAACATTATAACAATTTTGTTAATATTGATATAAAATTATTTTAAAATTAATGGTATTTATTTAAGTTCAGTTTCATTAATATCAAAGTAAATAATTGAAATGTAAATGTATGATGATAAACTTTTCCAAGTATGAAATCATATTTTATAATTTCAGATTTTTTAAAAAAAGATATCTTGAGTTCTAAATTTTTTTTAACATTTGTAAATAAATATTTTAAAAAATTGGTGATTAAAAATTTATTTTGTTCTGTGTATTAATATATTAGATTACCATATTTAAATATTTGCCATATATCAGATTACCATATTTGGTATTATATTATATACTTATATACTTAAAATTTAATTAAATATTAGAAAATTCTAATTATAGATATTAGTAGTATTTTTAATTTTAATGAATTTTAAGTTTATGTTGATTAAAAATATGACTGGTATTGAGTAGATAGAATCATCCATCAAGAAATCGGGACCTAATTTATATAGTAGACTGAAACTATGGTATTCAAGTGTTTCTGCATCATTCTGGAAAATAATTTCTTCGACACGAAGACAAGAGAAAGATGGTGATTATGATAATATAGCAAGAAAAATTAGTACAAAAAGAGTAAGGTTTTCAGAACAACTTGAAGAAGCAATTGAACCTGTATTAAATTTGAAAATGGAACTACTTGCAGAAAAGAAAGTCAGTGAAATGAAAATATTTATTATAATAGAGCCTGCATTAAACAGCTTTCTTTGTTTGCATTACATAATTACTGTGAATGTTTCTTAAAAATATATAATACTATGATTTATAGTGTGGAAGTTTAGCAAGTTGTGTAAACATAATTTAGTAAAAAAAAATAGTAGATTATAACTGTTAGTTATTAGCAATTATTAATAACAATTATTAATAATATGAATAATTTATAAACAAAAAAAATGAAATAAATTTACAAAATACTAAACTTTATTTCTTTTTTTATGAGCTAAAATACAAGCTACTTTTATAGAATCTTTTTCAAAGTTAAGAAATTTTTTAGAATTTGTTTCCAATTTTGGTAAAATTATTGATATTTATTACTTTTAATAGAATTGTTTATTGCTGTATCAATAAAATGTAAGAGACTAATGGTTTGCAAATTCATGTTTTGATGAGCACAGAAGAATTATTACAATGTGAGAGTAATAGCACAAAACTAAGTTTTTATTATATAATTGATTATAAATGCTACTCAGAATTCCAATCTGAGTGTGATGAGTTGAAAATAACTAACAAGTAAGTTGGTAGTATTTTAAGCTATACAGTATTTATTTTAACAATGCAAGAACAATCTTTCCAGCATTGCACAAGTGTGTGTGTGTGTGTTTATATATTCCACCATGATGTTTACAGTAAAAAATTAATTCATTCAAAAAAATAGACCTGTGTGAATTGCACAACAATTCCATGGCAATATGTAAATTTTCTCATCCCTCTTGAGTGTAAAAATAATTAAAGGAAATCATTTTAATAAGAATTAGTGTAAGGTATAGAGAAAATTTTATAAAGGAGGAAAAAACCAATATTACATAAATTAATAAAAAAACAATTAGCTTTATTTTGCTGTAGTACATGTTCAAAACATCTTTGTCTTGCAGCTGGAATGTACTTGTATAACCTACCTGTTGCTTCTTCAGTATTTTGTATTGTTACCCTAAAAAGTATAATCATTTCACATTATTTTTCATGAGTATGAAGGATTGTTGCAATACTCTACCAATTAGCAGATGTCAAATGTTGATTCTCTTATAAGAACGTTAACATCATTGTTGCCACATGATTTGTGAAGATTACATTTTTAATTTGCATCTTGTTTTTATGTTTTGAAAATTACATATTGCCTTAGATACCATGCAATTCACACATCAAAATCAAAGGACCAGATAAAACACAAATATTTTTGGTATGTTAAGTCTTTCAATATATAATATAGATTAATCAACTTTCAGAAATTTTATTAACTTTAAATGCCTTTCATTATAGACTTGCAGAAACCAGAGTATTACCATAGTATAACAACAAGTAGGCCAGAAAGGCTTTCAGTACCTTTTGAACCTATGTCCCAGTCGCCTACGTCACGATGCAGTAGCACATCTACTGGACACCGAGCATGCTTCGTCTCAATTAGCATTGCAACTATTATAGAAATGTGACATGCTTTATGAAAATATTTTTTCACACCTTAACCAAAAACCAGGGCTGTGGAGTCATGTAAAAATCTACCGACTCCAAGTTTTCCTTACCATCTGACTCTGACCAGGGGCGGATTTGTTATCGAAAGAAACCTGGAAATTCTGATGTCATCACGTGACCTCAGAATAAAAGATTCAATAAATAGAGTTCTAATAAAGATAGAGCATAGAAACTGTTTATTCTAAAGCTAAAAGACTTCTCTAAGTAATATATAAATATGTATTCAATAATTTTTACTTTTCCGGCTGTTATATATAACAGTGGAAAAGTGTAGCGCTCAGTCAAAAAATGACCGCTCCCAAATTTTTACATTTTTGGACTCAGGACACCTTGAAATTTCAAGATATGCAAAAGATTTGTGGTATTTTCTATATGTGTGTATGTTAGACTGTGTGGGGGGCATGATTTTGTTCACCCTGTTTGAAGCCTAATAATTTCTGTAGTCAGAATGGTCAGAATCGGAGTCAGATGGTTTAACACAGGTGTTAGTTATTAAGCGTTAAAGTGGTTGAACTAAATCGTGTCCCCATATACATTCTAACATCTTAGGCGAGAACATCTTAATGGGTTTTACTGTACTATTATAAAATGGCTAAAAAGCTTACTTTGAGGGTAGAGACGAGTTTTATTTTATTTTTTTTTAATTTTGAATGCTAATAACGAGTAAAATATTCATTAAGAGATATGACACATGACCACTTTTAGGTCTTCACCCTGTCGACCTTTAATTAAGAACCAAAATTTAATAGTATTAATGCCCCTTTATACGCAAGCTACAGTGCCACATTTCGTTTCTTAAACTTTACTCATTCTGAGATATTGTTTAATATCCCAGAACAGAAAATAAAGAAATTAAACAAATTAGATGCCAACACACACGTGTGCAAATTTTTCCCCTTTACTGATTTTTTCGAGGGGTTCAGGAGGTCTCCAAACGTATAGATTTTCAAAAAAAAACTTGGAGAGTCAAATTTGACATGATTCCAATACTTTTCCGTTTTATATACATAACAAGTTGGTAAATAAAAAGGAGTCAGAGTCGGCAGATTTTTTGACGACTCCGACTCTGGCTAAAACACCAAAACTCCATGACTCTGACTCCACAGCCCTGCCAAAAACTATTAAAAAAAACAAAATATTGTGTAAAAACTAGACAAAATTTCTGGTTTTTATGCAAAACCCTCAGGTGTCTATGTTGAGCCAAATTTAAATTAATTTTTTAAACAAACTTCCAAGAGAAATTTGACTTCTCTGGTCAAACAACCAAACAATCAAGGCTGTCATCATGGTGACAGTGATGTCTATACAAAATCATCATTATAGCCATCTATTCTCGTCATCTGGGAAAAACTTTATAATTTATAAAGAATTATAAAAAGCAGCCCTAGCATTCTCATTTTGGTAAAATTATTGTCTTAAAATAATTAGTCTATGTTTTCTTTTGTTCATTTTAGGTTGTATTGCAAAGGACAACAAAAAACAATAGTGAAAAAATTGTGAAATATGCAGCTTATTAGACATAAGTCATCAGTGAAACATTATAATAAAAACAAAATTGAAAATTTTACATGAAATTTGTTTACATCATTTATAGAATTTAGAAGAGCTCTCTAGTTTTAAAGTAACTACATTTTAAAATTTCTTCGTAAACTCCAAAGAAAAATACACTTGACTTTAAGGAAAACTTTTGCTTTGCTGCATTAGGTAAATTCGTGCATTCAAAGTAGAATTCAGTTAGATAGGTGTTTAAAGATGCTTAATTTCGGTTATTTTTTTCAACTCTTAAATTATGGTTTAAAAACTTGATTGTGTAGTAAACACGTGTTCTTACAAATAAAAGAATCAGAAATCTTTTAAGTACTTTGCACATAGTAGGGATCAAAATTGTTTCAGAAATGCTTTTTTTACTATATTTGCAACAATTGCTGATTTGTGCATGTTCTTTTGAAACTCTACTTGGAAAATTTGTTCAAATTGTCAAATAAACTGGCAAAAATTATCTATTGGATTAGTAGTAGTAATCTAACTATATAAAGCTGAAAAACTGGGTTCTTTCTTTCTTTCTGTCACTGTATGCCAAAAATGGCCACTAGGGGCACCCCTAGCAATTATTTAAATTAACAATAAATTCAGTATATTATTATTTGATGCGATTTTTGCATTTTTGTCTGCGTTTTAGTAGGGTACTCCATGAGTACCCTACTAAAATTCAGTATATTATTATTTTTATTTGTAATAGAAATTTATTATTTATACCATGGAATGACACCGCTGCTGCTAGAACACCCACTAGGGAGGGTCCCGGGCTACTAGAATAGAAGGATTAGAAGTACGAAATAATCTAATAATCTTAATCTTTGTTGTTGTTTTTTGCCTGGGCAGTGCCGTCTCATCTGTTGGTGTTGGCGTAATTAGTTAACTTGTACTATGAAGATTATCTGTGTTTAACTAATTTAAAATAATGTTTAACAAACCTTAAGTGTATACAGTAATGTTTTTGTCAAATTGATCAATCAAACTGTAAAATTTATGCAAATCTTTATTTTTTAGTAAATTTTCCCTTAATAAAGTCACAAAAAATTCATAGGACTCTTGCTTACATTTTAAAATCTTTTGCTAAATTTATAATAAAAATGGTTGTGCTCATTTCCTCATCAATAAATTACCTGGGAGTATTAATTTTGCATTTGTTTACCTTTTCTGAATCACAGTTGTACTTGCCAGCTCAGTCTCATTTGCTAGAGAGTTATGCATGTGCACTATATTTTCTGGAACAGACTATTATGCATCTCTGGCTTGCTTGTTGTTATACTATGATATTATCAGGGTTAGCTCCAAGGAAAATCATACCAATGAGGCATGACTTCCCTTGCTGGCTCAAAATGACAATGATTTATGATAATGGCTTTAAAATGAAATATGAATGTGAGAATAAGGATTATTACTGTAAGAATTGTTTGTAAAGTAGGACATTGTCTGTAATTTAATAGTTTAAATATACTTGATCATGTATAAAACAGACACCAGCCACAAAGGCACTTCATGATGCTTTATTTGATCTTACTATACAATGTGGAATTGGTATGCATTTTTATCCCCTCCTCAGCCAACATACTATCAACCATACATACTATCCCTCAAGTTGTATGAATTGCAAATAGCATTTACAGAACCTTTCAATATAAGAAAACATTGAAATAAATTACACAAGAAACTTTTCTTTCCAGAAAAATATATACAGAGAAACAAACATTTCTCTGTATATATTTTCTTATAACAATGATCAACAAGAATCAAAGAGCATTGATACAACATTGAATTGAATAATCCTGTTACATCTTTAACGTTATACACCAGGGAACATGCCAAACTTGATGAAGCAAAATTAATTAAATTCAACTTCAACGAAGAACGTATGAGACAGGAAGTTCTACAGATTTTCAAAGCTACATTAAAAAAGAACTGTATTAGTCATAAAAATTGTGTCATTATCAACAGCCTGGTAGTTATAATATGACTACCCATGCACAAGGAGGAGAAAAAATAATGACTTAATATTCATAAAAATATTCATAAAATATTGATAAAAACTAGTTATTTTATTGTTAATTTATTAATACACAGATGTAAAGTAGTTTTTTTTAAAATCTTTATTTTTAGAATAATTAACTTGAATTTGTTATTCGACATTCCGAAAAAGAATTTTAAGTATGAATGTAAGATGTAGCCCTATTAATCAGATCAAAAAACATTTGTTTCTCTGTATATATTTTTCTGGAAAGAGAGACATTTCTTATGTAATTTATTTCAAAGTATTCCAGTTTTAGTGTTTGTTTTGTTCTATATGAAAACATTTTTTCTTACATTGTATTCAAATGTAGAATCTATATTTGAAATCATTAAGTGCTTAGTCGGATGATGGGACATGAAAGGTCTTAAACATTTAATACATTGACCCCTTAAGATTTCTAGTGATGTTCTAATTATGTTATCTTTATATCTTAAGTGTTTTCAATTGTAATTAGTTTATTTACATTTTCTATTTTATAGTTTAATTTTTTTTTAATTCACTCAGTTCTCAAATTTGTATTATAATATTTGAAAATGAGAATACACCTAAAGACAGTGTTGTAAATAACTGAAAATTTTGTATTGTAATGAATTAATTACATTTTCAACTCAACAGAAAGATATAAAGAAGATACAAATAAAAAACTCCAGCTATTGCCAAAATTTTGAGTTTGTTGAAAAGTTTATTCTGAACAATAGAATGTGTGTGCTCTTAAAATAGTTAATAAATATGTTTTCTTTAAAGTTGCAATATTTTAATGCTTTTAAAACAGTTTAAATTAAACTGTGGTAAGGGAAACTGATTTTGAAAATAAAATTTGTCACTTTTTTTATAATAGTGTCAAAAAGTTTAACTGTCATATTAGTATAAGACAATTAGCATTATTAGCAAAACTTATTATTATTAGCAATTTCTTGTTTTTTATCATTTGTGTAGGATAAACTGTGACAAATTTTAAAATTATTAGATATGATATGCTTTATAAATCAAATATAATACTATTAATTTAATATAATTAAATCAATAGTTACTTTCCTGTTTTTGCTTGGTTTTCTTTTTACTAAAACATTGTCATTTTTTTCTTTTTCTTTTTTTTAACACTTTTGTTATCTCTGTGTTATTAACACACTAATTATTTGATGGCTTTCTAACTTAACATCTTTTATAAAGAATTTATTAAATTTATTAACAAATAACAAAATGGACTTATTTTTGTATAATGAGATTTTAAATTTTATTTTTAGACATCAAGTGATGAAGCAGATGAAGCAACTTCTAGTTTGGCACAAAAAGTTCAAGTTGAACCAGGTACACCAGAAAAATGTACTGTTGTAAAACCATCAACATTGTCATTACCTGGAGCAGGATCTAGCATTAAAGAAGAAACACAAATAGAACAACAGCTTAGCAATGTTTATCTTTATTGTCTTCTTTGGGCTTGTGTTATAGCTCAACTATGGCCACATATGTGGTTACTGCATTTATTTCCAATACCTGTGGTGTATATAATAGCAAAGAGATTAGGTAACTAGTTTATTTTTTTATTAAATATATGAATTTGGAATAATTTGATAATTAGAATTGGCACTGAACAAAATTTGTTAATTGATGATTGTAATCACCAAACAGTTATTTAATTATTAAAAATATGAAAAATATAAATAATTAATCAAAGAATATTGTAATATTTTTTGAAATTTATAAATGGTAAATTTAAAAATCTTTGAAAATATAGTGACTCCCATAGAGCAAGATCCATGTGGCATATGAAAAAATTAACATGAAAGGACCTAAGCATTGACCAATAACATGTACACTTAACCAAGAGAACAAAAATTGTTTATTACACGACAACAGATCTGACAGCACACAGTACCCAATGTACAGTCACGATACTATATGGGTCATAGAAATTTGATCGCCTGAATAAGAATGATTTTACTCTTACGAACTAATGGATTTCCATTGATGTACCCTTTTCCATGGCACAATGCTTATACACAGTAGCCCTTCACAATCTTGAGATGACATATTGGCTTTCACAAAGACAATAATGTATACATACGAAACTTATATCTATATAACTAATTGTCCTAATGGGATCCTCAGATAGCCTAATTCACAAATATATGTATCCCTCACTGATGGTCCACTGTACCAGCACGGTGGAAATGGATTATTCAATTCCAGATCAAGACGTCCTGTTGTCAATGGCGACTATCACCTGGTTCAGAAGCTCCCCTTTTCCTTGTTCCTTTTCTTTACTTGTAGCTTATCCATCCAAATTAGTCTTTTAGGCTCAACTGCTGAGCTCTCACTTTCTAACTTTCCCAAAGAGTCCAAAAAGAAAAAAAGGTATTTTGATGCGAATGTCTGTCCTTTTTATAATTCCTGCTCTCTGGAAGTACCGTGTTTCCCCGAAAATAAGACAGTGTCTTATATTAATTTTTGCTCTGAAAAATGCGCTAGGTCTTATTTTCAGGGAATGTCTTATTTTTTCCAGGAAGAAGAATTCACATTTATTATTGAACAAAAAAGTTCCCAGGTCGAACTTAGACGAAAGTGACGTATATCCGGTGTGTCGAACTGTCGCCTTTTTATAGCGTCAACATCGGACTCGATGACCAATTAGTGCTTACTGAACCGTAGCACTATGCAAATGCCACGTGGCGTGATTCCCGGTCGACCAATTAGCCATCACCAGCCGTAACGTTATGCAAATCTGTGATTTCCAAGCCATAGTCTTATGCAAATCATGCCGTGTGGCGTAATTGTCTGCTGACCAATCAGTGGCTGTACTTTCAAAAAGCCAACGGCCACTTTCAACCATCTGTCGATGACCGTTACGACTAAAAAAAATCTTCGCTAGGTCTTACTTTCAGGGGGAGGTCTTATATTTCGCAATTCAGCAAAATTTGTGCTAGGTCTTATTTTCTGCGGATGTCTTATTTTCGGGGAAACACGGTATATCATTAACACATGACACTACCCTGGACCAATTATAAGGCTCCAAACATGGCAACCAGGAAAAGGTGATGCCTATGCAAGGGATGAACATTTTCACAACATACTGTACAAAAATATATGGAAATGTGATACAGAACAATATATATAAATGTAACTTTTCTTTTGTATAGATATATAATACATAGTTGTGTAGCACTACAAAAATTTGATAAATGAATTTGAAATGAAATTGGTTATGTACTCATAGACTTTATATAATAGTCTACATAACCAATCAACTGTGTTCCTGTGTGATAATTTCTCCATACCAATTGTATTCTTGCTTCTAAAGAATTTTTTTACTATTTCATCTAATGTTTAATGAAACTACTGTACTGTAATTCAATAATAACATATGCTTTCTCAATTATTTTGTGAACCATCATTTGATTATATTTCTAAAGATGGGATGGAGAGGATAATAAAAAGAAATTGCTAGAATATACAGTAGACCCCCCTATAATGCGGGTTTCTATAACGTAGATTCCTATAATGTGGCGAAAAAATTGTGACAGTATTCATATAATGACGCTAAAAGAGACGCGTAAAACATGGTAAAACGTCATCGCGGATGAGCAGCCGAACTACTTTTCACCGTCCAGCGCCACGCTACGGAGAGTTTAGGCGGGTAAGTTGAGTTTACTATCGTCTGTACAGTATTATATATAAATTATATATAAATTAGATACTGTACATATAATTATATATTAATTATATATAAATTAGGTACTGTATATATAATTATACATTAACTTAATTTATTGTAACTTTATTATAATTATATATATAATTTCCGCCGTCCAGTGCCACACTACAGAGAGTTTAGGCGAGTAAGTTGAGTTTACTATTATCTGTACAGTATGTAAATTAGGTACCGTAAGTCTAATACAGCACTGTAATTTTATACATTTCTTGTGAAAGAAACATTTCTTATTCAACGGCCATAAAAATTATTTCTATTAAAATGTCTCCAAAGTTCAACAAATTTTTCGCAGAAAAATAACCGTTTGGTGTGCTGGTCCGCGACGAACACAAGCTTAAGCAATGGCGACGTCAAACGGTGCACACTTAGTAAGTAATCCTACAATTTTTTATTTATAGCATAGTTTATACGGATTATTCCCAAAAAATTATACGTATTTTGGAAATGTTAAGTGGAATTAGTCTAGAATCGGTTAATTTTATAGAAGAAAACCTTTCGAACAGCCTTAGTCCGTAAAGTTCCCACCTATCGGGCTGCGATTGGCTCA